CATTTATAGGAGGTGTAATTACATTATCATTTGCAAAGCACTTCTCAACTACTCAGAGATGCTGCAGAGTTGAGAGCTGGAAGTAGTAGCTGTGAGTGCCATGCTTTATTTCCAGTAACATAAAGCTGACGACTAAGCATTTACTTTGGGATAGATGGTCATTTCTCCTGTGAGATGAAATCCTCTTCCAGTTTTTCTTGCTGAAAACTTTACTGGCAAATGAGACTGACACATGGTGACATTTCACGCCTTGCTGTTTCTTGTTTCCTATTTTCTCACTCCATGCTGGTTTGGTGCTCTGGGCTGGGAGGGGGAAAATGTCCACCTATAATGGAATAATTTGGGATTTTTCACTAAATAAGGAACTGTGACTATAAAACTGTTCTCTCATTCAGGGGCCCATTGTCACATGCTAGTCCTGTTCCTTGGGGCCCAGCCTGTCCTTAGGAATTTGCCTCCTGCTGGAGGATGCCTTCAAGCTGTCTCCAGAGGTCTAATGTATAACGGAGAACTTCCCTCTCCTTCCTTCCCTTTCAATCCTATCCATGCATAGGAATTTTATATAAAATGTAGCAGGAAGGTAGCATTCATTGGTGCTTAGAGAAGGAACTAGAGGTGCCTCTCCAGCATGGGACAATATGAAGAATCAGAATAAGTGCAGTGCTGTTGGCCAGGCATCAGAGGTGAAATACATATGAGAAGTTCCTATCTCAACTGCTGTTGGGTGGTGGTTTTTTCTGAAAATTCCCAGTGCGGTAAATCCGATATCCTCCCCAAGCACAAAGTCCTCAGTAATGGCAGGAAAGTACAAGACATTTTCCCTTCAGACAGTGTCTTGAAGTTCTCAAATCTCAGGAGAGCATTTACCCGCATTTGAAACAGCCTTCCAGCAAAGCCAGATGCTCCAAGCACATCTGTTTTATGTGAAGAATCTCTTTCTTATGTGAGTTTTCATCTACACTACTGCATATTTGCAGACCTTCTCTATGCATTGTGTTGTCTTGCTCTTTTTGTTTGTTTAAATCCCTGACACAGAATGAATCCTCCATTAAATATCCATGGGATCAGTGCAGAAAAACTCATCATACTGAAACTCTGTTCAGGATTTACCTGGCTTCTGTGTGAAAGGGAGCAGCTCTGATAAGGCAAATAAGGCACGTACAGGAAATTGAATGAAAAAGGGACCTCTTGACTTATCAGGCTCAATCCCTTTGAATAACAGGCAAGTACAAAACAAATAGCCTTTTCTAAACTTACTAAGCCCTGTCCTAAATCTCATTAGGTTTCCGCCCTCACTTGTGCTACCAGAATGCTGTTCCAGCACCTCCTTCCCGGCTCTGTTGCTTAGAAACCTTCTGATTTCCAACCTAAATTCATTCATGGACAATTTATATCTATTTATTCTTATGCCACATTGTCCTTTAGCTTCGGTAGCTCTCCTCTCTCCCTAGCACTTACTCTCCCAACCCCCAATTCCTAAAAGTATTTATAGGCAGCAAATTTCTCCTCTCTTAACCTTTGATCTGCCAGACTAAGTAACTAAGCTCCCTTATAGTATTCACCCTGCAAGCACATCGCACCGTATTTTAATTACTTTGGGTAGCTGCACTAGCATGAAGTTCAGTGCAAAATAATTAACGTAGAAAAGCTCAAACTGGTACCTCATCTATTTTCAAATCAGCTCAAATGTCTCTCTGCAGTCACTTCTGTGACTGATAAGTAAACATACTCTTGGCCAAGAGATACCCCCCCTCCCTCTGATCACCCCATTGCCTTTCTTCACACCTGTTCCAGGCTGAATATCTTTCCTGAATGCGGGTGAGCAGCACTGCGCACACCAGTCTGGTGGGGTCTCACATCCTTTTGGATGACATTAATCTCACTTGCTGCAACTGGAAATACTGCTAAATACTGCTACATCCTGAAAGTTCACTTGCCTTTTTCACCCCCACATCGCATCACTGGTTCCTCCTCCTTTGGTGACCTTTACCCAGGACTTTCCCCTTCTTGATTCTGCCAACTAGGAACTCACAATTGCTAAGAGAGATTCCTGTTACTCTCTGAGCAACAAGTTCCTAGAGTGTGACTTTGTACTCTCCCATTTAACCTCACCTCGATCACTCCAGTCGCAAAGAGCCTTCAGCTCTCCTAGCGCTGGAATCCACTTCTGCCCTGACAATACCTCCCAGCTTTGTTCCATCAGATTTCATTAGCATTTCTACTTTCAGTGCCAAGGTAGTTAACACAAATATTTAAAAAGATCAGTCCTAAGAGCAATATTTGAGCAGCCTCACAGATAACTTCCCCTCAACCTATTAGGAAATGGGTGTCTCAATTCTGTCAGTCTCTTACCTGCTTGAGGATTTCCCTAATAATCCCTGTCTTCTTCAGCTGAGTCTTCTCCACTGATTTTCTGCTTCTGGGACACCATTTCATACACCTTACTAAAGTCCAGATAGATAAGGTCTGCTATGTTTCTTTTACCTAAAGGGTCAGGAATCTTACCCCAAGACAGACATTTACTTTTGATCAAAAGATGATGGATGTTGTTCTATTTTCCCCTTACCTCCTGTCTTTATTTCCCCTTTCCTTCAAAATCCATTCCACAGCATCATAAACTGCTGAGATCTGTAACTGCACATGGCAAGCTGTCAGCTGTTATCCTCATTCCCTCTCTCTGGGGCAGCATTCTCTTCCACTTGTTCTCCTCATTCAAGCCATACAAGTTTTGCATAGCAGTCTCCTGGGGAGGGGAGGAAAAATCCTTCTTCCCAGCTTACCAGTAGGCAAAACAGCTATTTCTCTAGCTGTGGAGCTGGAGAAGCTGCCATGACACCTCTATTTTTACTTGAAGAAGGTGCAGTAGGAAAGAGGGACAACACATTGAGGGGCTGGCTGAGGCATCCATACAACATCTCTACTCTCCTGTCTCTTGCCTCCCAGTCTGCCTTCACCATTTCCCTTCTGTGCATCAAAATTCAAGTACTCACCACCAACACCAAAAAAAACCCCCAAAAACCTCATAACAGTTACCTCATGTGCATGATGCATGTATTGGACAGAAACCTTCTGCCCCCGTTCGTTCAACAGAACTAAGCTGTATCTGCTAGATTCAGAGATTAACTCTACAGGAGAACAGGGATGCCACTCAGGAACAGTAGTGGGACAGGAAACACAAAGGGGCGAGCAGGGAGAATCAGACCGAATTCCCCTGAGTGTACAGCCAAGTGTCAGCCACGCAGGGAGGGGATTACATTTCAGACCGCTCACTCACAGGAACTGCCTCTCTATAGCACGTGAGAAACACTTGACAAGCCTTAGCCAGCCTATCCCAAAGCCATCTGTGACCTAGATCTGTATTATTAACACCTTTCTTTGGACACTTCTAGGATTAAATCTTTGAAAATTTCACTGGCATAAAATGAACAGGACTTTACATAATAATGCTTTATGGGAATCACTCCAAAAAGACAAAAGAACACAGTGATATTCTCCTTCCCATGAAATTTCATCACAGGTATACAATTGCCAGGCGGAAGAGGGAAAAACAAGAAACAACCCCATTTTCTTTGAAATCATCGAAAGCCTTTCAATAAAGTCAGAAATAAAGTGGCAAATGACCATGGGCTTCTCCATACCAGGAGTTTACTGAGATGCTATGGGAATTTACCGTGCACTTTATGTCCTGCACTAATCATCAGTGAAGATTCAGCCCTCTTGAAAAGGAGTTGCATTCTTAACTTCAGAGTGAGTGCCAACATAGGACATACCTCCAGAGGTAGCCTCTGCACAGCACTGTCCCTGTGTGGGCTGGCTTTCAATTTCATGACTAAAGGGGACCCTAAATTAATGGGAGAACAATGATTAGATTAGAAGAGTTTGCCAGCTCCATGTTTGAGTCTCTGGACTGCTTTTGCTTCATGATCTACACTAGCTGCTGCATAGGGCAATTATGTTCTGGATGGGAGATATCTAGGATTGCTGGAGGGACTCCCACCAAAGCTTGTGTGCAGCAAGCCATTTCTCAGGGCACCAGAGTCTTCTGTGCAAATCTCACTCCCCTGATACTTGAGGTTCCTTGAGATCAGCCTTTACCAAAGCCAGAAGGCATCTCTGATTCACCCTCCTCTCTGGGGCCTGATGTGCAGGAATCAGAGCCTTGACTTGACACGTACATGAAATACAAGACCTTCTGACACTTGATGTGCCAAAAGCATTTTTCAGAAAGGCCCAAACACTCATGCATCAGACTGTGTGGGAGCACGGGGAGGTGGAGGGGTGTGCTGAAAAAACACCTCTCCTAACAGGCAGGTTATTCTCTATTTCTCAGTAAGGGGGCCTGTGAAACCCTCCTGGGAAGCATCAGGTGCTCTTTGGAACAAGGCTCCAGCTGTGCTGAGCCTCTGGTCCAAGCCAGCAGAGCAAGCCCTATGTTGTTTGGAGAGGTGGAAGACCCTGCTCCACATGAACTCTGCTTTGCCCAATTAAGCTTGAGCAAGTCAAAAAAATATCCTTCACTGATGTCCTGCGTGGAAGAAGCTTCCCAGGGTAACTGTGGGGCAACCCTGTCTCTCTTCGTTCAAGGAAGGCTTACACCATGGCGTGTTATCTGGGGGAGGAGGTGCAAGGAACAGCGGTAGCAGCAACTGGAAGGGACAGTGCAAAGCTGGCAGCAAGCGCATCCTGTTGGCATGGGGAGGGTGGCACAGGGAGAGGCTGAGAATGGAAAGGGAAGAATGAGATCCATGGTCTTTAAAGGAAAAACAACAGGAAACTAGGTTTGAAAATAGAAAGATTAAGCTGGAGGGGGTGGGAGAGACAAGAAAAGTAGGTGAAGAAAGAAGAGGGGCAAAGGCAGAGAGGCAGTGGGGAAGACAGAAAGTGACACAGAAAGGGGGTGGAGAAAAAGAGAGGAAGAGAGAGAGAACCACATTAAAGGAATAAAACCAAGCAACTGAAAAGAACAAGGAGTCCAACTCAATTACAGAAAGAAAAAGTGCTAAAGCGAGGAAAGAAGACAGGACAAGATACTGGAAATCAGGTAAGTAACCATGAGGGGGAAATACCAGAACTGCAGAAGCATTGATGAGAGATTAAGCTGTTACACTCAAGGGGAAAACAGCATGAGGGGAGAGAAGGACTTAGTGAGGCAGGAAAAAAGGATGGCCAAAAATTACTTAAGAAATTTACTTTTTCTTTCAATTTCTCTCCAAAATATTCCCACTAGTAACAAGGTGGGCTTGGGACATTTTAAAAATTAAACTCTTTTTGGCACAGGCAGCTACAGAAATGACGAGGAAGCCTCCCTGCAATGAACACAGATACCGATAGATTTCAAAGTACAGAAAAGGAGGATAAGAGCCCCAAGTATCCTCAGAGAGTATAACGTGCAAATTGCAGTTTCTGTCAGATCCCATTTCAGCATGCTGTCAGGCTGCTCAGGGGAGGGTGGTGAAGGGAACTCTTACCTACGAGAGGCTCTCAGGGTATAAACACTTTATCAAGTGTCTGCGTGAACCGCCTATATTCCAAAGCACGCAGGATGGTTTCAAAATAGTGCACTTTCTTTTCCTTGAGAGTATTGCGTCCTGGCTGGTCTGTGACATGGAGCCTGGGAATGTAACTCAAATGTAGAGAAGCGCCTTGCTCGTATCTCCCAGTCACCCGTACTGCATGCGCCGGGAGGGAATGCCTTTCTTCTCCATCCCGACACTGCCCAGGGCAGCCTCAGCAAAGAGGCATGCAGACCTAGAGGGACAAACGCTCTCTCCCACTAGCAGCTGCCGCTTCTTCTTATTTTCCTTCCTAACTTTTTTCCCTTTTTTGGACTTGGAATAATTATTCAATTACATTTCCATAATTTAATACTTCTAGCACTGCCACCGCATGTTTCAAAGAATAGCCGAGCATGAAAAAATAGTACCCCTATACATAGACCTGGAAAGAAGCAACGTCGATGAGTGTAAAGGTTGCATGCTAATTGCCACCTCTGATCTGTGGTGACTCCTTTGATTTCCTAAAGGGTCATTTTACTGGCCATTTGTGGCACTCTGATTTCAAGTAAACTCAGGCAGTGCCTCTGTTCCTGAAGTACCATAAAATCCATCAGAGGATCATGTAAGTAGCATTTCTGGACAAACCTCAGCTTAAAAAAAGTCATAGGCTGAATGAGCCTTAATCGTTGAACTCTTCCTCCATGCTAACAAACATGTCAAAATACCTTGGTGAAGCAGCGTGTGTGAGAGGTTTTCCCTACTGCTGCCTATACGATCCTCTCTTTAAGGCTAAAGAACTTAATGCATGTCATATGTGTGTGCATATGCTTGTGCAGCTCGGAGCGAGTTAAACTGTTATTCAGAAGCTTCACAGTATTCAGTATTTGCACCGGAAGCCAAAAAATTCTGCATTTGCTGGTCTTTTCAAAATCTACTCCGAGAAGAGCGCAGATTTCTAACTTTCTTCCCCCTTTCCTTGGGAGCAGAACAGTAGTTTAGGAGAATTTCTGAGGCTTCAGGGTTTAAAATACTAATCAGGCTCTGGTCACTTGGGAACTATGTTAAGTATTCCTGCTACTATAACTATTTGAGGTTGTTGGTTTTGGTTGGGTTTTTTCCCGCTCAACAGTATGTATTATCACAATATTTTAGTATTACAGGCTTTCACATGAAAAATTTAAACCTTGCCAGAAAATATAGAACTTCATACCCTAGCCTCTCTTCTCTTTTTGACCTTCAGACAGATTTCACACATTCTGCACGTTTGCCCTTGTTTTCTGACTTATCTCGCAGCATTGAAAATAGACGAGAAGGAATGAGTAATTCAGCACTATACCATGTCGTTAGGGAGCACATTTCAGAGACTGCTCCACACCTCGGGTGCTGTTGTATGAGGCACGAGGACAGAGGCTTAAAATAAGAAATAGTTCCCAGGAGGCACCAGAGAAACTTCAATCTTTGGGCTAAGAATTCATAGAGAGAGGGGGAAAAAAATCAATTTTATGGCTATTGATAAGCAACAGACAGATCTCCATGAACAATACTCTAGCATGCCAGCTCTCTCCTGAAACAAGGAAATATTCATGCCATGCAGTAAGCAATGAGCATAGATATGCATGCTTCTAAGTCTCTCTAGTGCATCTTTAAAGAGGGGTCAGTGGTTTTTAATGTAAGAACTAAGGGGTTTGCACTTACATTTCCGTCTTTCTTCATTATCTTTGTCATTACGAACATGCCTTGAGAATGGTTGAGAATTTCCATATGAAACTCCTCTCTCTTAGAAGCAGCAAAGCTGACAGATGCCTGGGTCAGGGCACAGGGTTGCTGAGGAAGTGAAGCAGTCCAGCGAGGGCAACTGCTGCAGAGCTCTGGGGTCTTCGGCTGCATTCGGATGTCTGGTGAAGAAGGGAGGGAACAGTGACATGGGAGAAAAACTGTCTCCAGTTTAAAATCAGATAAATCTATCCAAGAGGAATGGGGTTAATTCTTGTTTCTTACTCCAATTTCCTCTGTCATGATAGGGCAAATCACTTAAGCCACGTTTCTTCACAAATGCCCCCTCAGTAGTGTCTCTCATCGTCTGGATGTCTGACTTCTAGATGTGGTCCAACTGGTGCAAGTGATAAACTCTCCCGCTCCAGCGTTAACCAGACAGAGGTCTGCTTTGAACATATGTTATATAGTGCCAAGTGCGCTGAAAAAAAACCCAGATTAGCAACATCACCAAACAACTTCCAAAATTAATGAACATTTTTTATCTTAATCTCTCACTGCCTCAGTTCCTCAGCTGTAAAGTTGATCTAATACCATCTCCTTACCTCCAGGTGGTAATGAAAATAAGTAAATTAACGACTGTGAAACAATCAGATATTGTTGTGATGAAAGCCATAAGAAAACCCATGAGGAAACTAATAATTCTGTCTTTAGAACTGGACTTGAATAATGTACAGTAAATGAGGCACAGGCCACCCACTGAACAATGAGGAGAAAACAAAACATTGAATAGCTGCTGTTCAAGAAAGCTCCAGGCAGGCTGGCACAGAACAAGGCAGGCATCCTGTGCAAAGAATGAGGTGACAATGTGAGGATGTGGTTAAAGCCTCATAGCTATGAGGCACAGGCAAACAGAGATTGAATTAAGATTACTGAGAACAGTAACTCTAGCATTTCCTAACTCCTTACTGGTGGCTTTTGCAAATTCAATAATGGTTGGTTTTAAGGGGGAGGGGGAGATGTGCATATATATGTACATACACCAAGTATATAAAATAATCAACTCACGAGCTATAGCCAGACTTTGCCCTGAATGAGAAATTAAATATTTGAGGCAAGGATGCAACAATGAAGCTGGAGCATGAAGAGAATCCTACAGATTTTTGGAAAGAAGGAAGAAATGAGATTTGACAAGGTAGTACTAAGTGGGAAGTAGATAGTTACTGAAAATTTCCCCTTTCTAAGGCTGAAAGCATTACCAATCTGGGTGCTGTAGAGAGTTAAGTGGTCAAAACTGCCAAAAAGCTGAGGCAAGGCTGAGCGGTGGGGGCTTGACTGTAGGATAGCCATAGGGAAGTGACAGGCAGGGAGATACTGGGGAGAGAGGAGGGAAGAAAGGACGGGGAAAGTCTGAATGAGAGCCCTCTCCTTCTCCCACTACCTCTCCGGTCTGTTTTACTTCAACACTATAACAAGTTGCTTCTCACGCAGTCTATGAACCAGCCTAAAATCACATGGACGGGTTTTTTGCTGTTATATTGGACCCAATGTGATGCCTGCCATCACCTCCACATCTCCTTATACCAGCCTCCTCTACTGCCTAAGCAGTGCTTAAGATCAGTTTCTCTCAGCAGAGCTCAGGAGTTGCTCTACTACAGCAGTCCCCAAATTTCTCAGCATGTTTCTGTTTTCCAGAGGTCCCTCTGCCCTGCTTGGCTGTCCTCTCTCCTGTATACAGCACTGCCCAATTTAGCATCAGCTGCAAATTCACATAGGTTAGCTTCTCCCTGGAAAGATAAAGAAACTGTAAAGAGCACCAAGCTTTGTAACCCTGAACCAGATGCTCTTCAGCCTGTTAGTTGAGGAGTAAGCTTTGCAGCATTTACATCAGAGATAGCACTGGTTGATCTTTTTTCTAGCAAAAAGCACACATGAGCCTTCATTTAGCTTAACCCAAGTCCAGTTTTGTTGTATTTGTTGGGCTAAGGACCCACGTTTCTCTAAGGCACGGAGATTATATATACCAAAAGAATTAGAGGGTGCTTCCTGCATGCAAAATGTAAGCCTGGATACCGCTATCACGTAACTATTTGATGCAGGCTTTTCAAACACAGTGGGAGAAATTTATTGCTCAGCTTGACTCATCTGAGTTCAAGGTCTTTTCTGTTCTTGGTCTCCTGCGTCTACATCAGGCAGAGCTTGGCCCTAACGTCTGGATATATGAAAGCACAATTTGACCCTGGCCAAGGAGGGGAAAAATAGCATTAGATGGCCTGGAGAGACAAATAATAAAAATTCAGCAAACCGGGAGTCTGCAGCTTCCACCATCACTTCAGATGAAAATATTCTATATAATACTGTCATCTGTGTGTGTGTAACACATTCCTGATGTACACACTTGGAGGTGTTGAGTGATTTCCTTCTGTCTGTGTGCGTCAGGGTGGGTGTGTGTTCAGGAGGTGACAGGTCATTCAACTCCCTTATCTTCTCACACACTCTCTTTTTTGTGAACTCTGAGTTTTTCCACATTTGGAGAGGAGGGGGAAAGCATACCTCATGACAGAATAACAAGCTGTCTGCAACTGCAAGCAGGGCCAGTGGTCTGGATACCAGTGCGACCCTTCCAGAAATCACAGTGAACTCAGGAGGAGCAGAGAGATGAAAAACATTGGATGTCTGTCTTCTAGGACAGGAGCTGTTAACACGGAGCTCTGCCTTTCCCATAAGATTTGAATGCTGGAGTCAAAGTCACACTCCCTGCTACTGATTCAGCACAGGACTTTGAATCCAAGGAACTAGAAAGGAAGCTGTGCAAACATGACAGACTTTTTTT